CCTTTCCAATTTCTCCACATCTTTTAAGCAAAGCACTAAAAAGATGTGGAGAAATTGGAAAGGGTCCAGAGAAGAGCAACAAAAATGATTAAAGGTCTTGAGAACATGACCTATGAAGGAAGGCTGAAAGAATTGGGTTTGTTTAGATTGGAAAAGAGAAGACTGAGAGGGGACATGATAGCAGTTTTCAGGTATTTAAAAGGGTGTCATAAGGAGGAGGGAGAAAACTTGTTCACCTTAGCCTCTAAGGATAGAACCAGCAATGGGTTTAAACTGCAGCAAGGGAGGTCTAGGTTGGACATTAGGAAAAAGTTCCTAACTGTCAGGGTGGTTAAACACTGGAATAAATTGCCTAGGGAGGTTGTGGAATCTCCATCTCTGGAGATATTTAAGGGTAGGTTAGATAAATGTCTATCAGGGATGGTCTAGACAGTATTTGGTTCTGCCATGCGGGCAGGGGACTGGACTCGATGACCTCTCTAGGTCCCTTCCAGTCCTAGACTCTATGAATCTATGACAACTCCTCTTTGCTATTAAGCTCTCAGTTGTCCAGTGAGTCTATGCTCAGTCCTTTCTTTCTCTGTGTTGTCGTTTCTCTCCTTCAAGTCTTGGAGCATTCATGTCCTATAGCTTCTACTGGTTTTGCCAAAATCCAACTTTAGATCACATCTTGGTTTGCACTATGAGTCCTTTTCACTATTTGGCTGAAAATTATCTCTGGAGATGATAAGTGAGGCCCCATCAGACTGTCCCATAGTCCCAGCTGGGCGGAGATTCTGTGAATACCTGTGGGGCCCCATTCTGCGATTTATGTGCTTAAAGTGGTAGTTAGGGGCCTAAGTCCCATTGTGTATCTGGCCCATTTTGTCTCTATAGAACACACAAATTCCAACCAGCTCATTATTTTACAGGGTAGAACAGGGCTCTCTTTATCACCATCCTACTGAAGAGATGATCTCTACATGCCATTTCAATTCATTTTTATGATATGAGTTAATTTTGAGTTAATTTTATGTATTTGTCTTACAGGTCACACTCTTGCTGAAAAAATATCAATGGAAAATCAAACCACAATGACCAAATTTATTCTCCTGGGACTTTCCAGTGACCCACAGTTGGAGATTTTCCTCTTCTTGGTGTTTTTAGTTATTTACCTAATAACTCTGAGTGGTAACATAGTGATCATGGTGGTGATAAGAGCTGATTCTCACCTTCACACCCCTATTTACGTCTTACCCTTCCATTTATCCTCGGTCAAGGTGCCTAATGTGCTGAGGAACTTCCTAGCAGCACACAAAACTATGTCTGTCAATGGCTGCATTGCTCAGATATTCTTCATCCTCCTCTTAGCTGGTGCTGAAATTCTCATTCTTTCAGCCATAGCTCATGACCGCTACATTGCCATATGTGACCCATTGCATTACATGGAAAGAATGAGCAAAGGGATCTGTGTTCAGCTGTTGAGTTGTCCATGGGCAATAAGTTTCTTCCATGCCCGGCTTAACATTGTTTTTACCTTCAAGTTGCATTTCTGTGGGCCCAATCAAATCAACCATTTCAGCTGTGAACTCCCTCCTCTGTTACAACTGTCCTGCACTGACACCTTCACCAATCAAGTAGTACTTCTTACTTCTGTTGTGATATTAGGATCAAGTGCCTTTCTCCTCATCCTGCTCTCCTACATTCACATCATCTCCAGTCTCTCTGTGTCAAGAAGTTCCACTGTCAAATTATGTGTCTTCTTTATACCATCAGCACACGCATAGAACACCCTCCCAGCAGTGGTTGACAAAACCATAACCCTCCCTTATGAAAATCCTACAGGAAGAAAGGGAGGAGGTCTCCACTAAGTGGGCTTTTTCATTTCCCTATTATGTTTTTGTGAATCTCTTCTTCTCTATAGACATGATACTTCATGCACATGAATGTTTAGACTAAATGGACATACCCCTACAGCCTGTCTGCATTCAGAACTCCAACTGAGGCTTAGAAGACTTCCACTTATAGACCAACTGCAAGACTGAATCTAATCAACATTACTCCCATACTGAAGACAGATTCACATTCGTGCTAGGAGTCCATACTCACATGTAATTTCAATAAAATTATTCATGTGTACAACATATTCACAGAAGTAAAGTTCTTGCTGGATTGGGCATTCTATGTCTATTTATATGAGCATTTGTATTTTCACTAAACCTACCACACTGAAAAGTGAGATCTGCAAGATGTTAATTAGGCCTGCACTTTCATAGGGCTCTGAATTTTGGGCACTGAGAAAGAGACCAGAGCAGATCTGGTATACAATGGAAATGAAAATGTAAATATGGATACTTGCAGTTCTGTGGATGGACCATGTTTGGAATGAATGAAGTAGGGGATATGTGAAGGTGGTACCAATTATGGAAAAGCTGAGGGAATCGAAGCATAGATGGTTTGGCCATGTGAAAAGAAAATCAGAAGAATATATAGGAAACAGGGAGTTAAATGTAGAAGTGGAGGGAAAGAGAAGGGTTAACAGGCCCAGAACTACAGGGATGGGTGTCATACTAAATGATATGATTAGCTGTAGATTTTCTAAGGAATTGCATTTAAGACAGACTGGAATGGATACGAAGAATGTGAAGAACCAACCCCATATAGATGGGAGTAAGGCTAGAGGAAGATTTGAGTTAAGTAAGTCCAGCAAGAAGTTCAGACACTATATTACAAGAGTGCAATATAGAGAGCAAGAGTGCAAAACATTATATTGCAGATATGACAACATCCTGAACTAACCTTATTGAATTAAGTTTCACATCCTTGAACTTCACTGTATTAAAAATACAAATGTTTATGTACTTCTGTAGGATTGCATGGTGCTTCTTTAGGTCGAAGACATGCATAAAGCAATTGCTGGGAGATATTGGGGACCTCAAAGGACTTTTTAGGATAATACTTGTGAAGTGGATTTTCAAGGAAATTGTTGTGGGTGAAGATTATGCAAATGACCCACCTAAAATCTATTCTTTTGAAGCTACACTTTGAGCGGATACCCATTATCTGGCTTATTACCTAGTCAAGGTCTCTTTAAAGAGCCAATCTGAGAAATTAGTGACTGACAGAGGCAGGAGATGTTCTTGGTCTGAGGTGAGATATGATGAACTTGAGACCAGAGGAAAACCCCTGGGTAGGGGTTGAAGGACAGCTCCTGTCAGAACCCTGCACACATATACCTCTACCCCGATATAACGCAAACCCAATATAACACGAATTCGGATATAACGCAGTAAAGCAGTGCTCCGGTGGGGCGGGGCTGAGCACTCCGGCGGATCAAAGCAAGTTCGATATAATGCAGTTTCGCTTATAACGCGGTAAGATTTTTTGGCTCCCGAGGACAGCGTTATATAGGGGTAGAGGTGTACTTAATCTCATCTAATATCATACTTCACTGAAGCTAAATTAATTTAGTTTGGCTCTTAAATTACAGGAACACAACCTGTCTGATTTTCATTCTCTTGGCCTGCCCAGATTCTCCTGTTTGTCCGTATAACTCTCAGTGTGGTTCCCCCAGTATGACCAAGCCTGTTCAAACTTGTTTCAGTGTTCCACACGGGCAGCAGGCCTCAGCCTTTAAGGCACTGTTTGTTAATGACACTTAAGGCTACATCTACACTATGAGCTAGAGGTGTATTTCCCAGTTCATCGATCTAGCATTCCAAAATTAGCAGTAATAGCATGGGCAGCTGTGAGCAGTGGCATGGGCTCATTTTACAGAGTAATAATCCCACATGAACCCTGTGGGTATGTATTTCATAAAGCTAGCCATACCGCCACACATCACTACCCATTCAGCAGCAGCTACACTATTATTTTAAGTGAGCTAGCTCAATTATACCTAGCACGTGTATGTCTATGTGAACTGGGAATGACGCCCCTAGTTCATAGCATAGATACACCCTAGGTGTAAGTTGTTAGGCAAGTATTGGAAAGGGCCTCCTCCCTCTTCCCCTAGGGAGTTAGGCTCTACAACCCTGACAGACGCCTTGGATGAAATATCCATTCCATTATATGGTACAAAAGCACAAGAGTAGTGATGGATCCAGAAACAATATTGAGAATTACTAAAGAGAAATCCCATGTGTCACACATTAAATAGATAGATGGAATGTTACTTAAAAATGGCTAGAGTGAGAAAAGATTAACATCATGTTTATAGACTTTGCAGCTGTTTTTGACTCAGTGTATCAATCAGCTCTGTGGATACTTCAACTTGTGTGTGGGATGACTGAGGGCTTAGGATGTCTCATAGAAGAACTGTACCATAGTAGATGTGTTTGTATAAGAGTAAATGGTTTTATTACAGAATGGTTTTCAGTAGAATGAGGGGTATGCCAGGGATGTGATCTCTCACTTATGTTATTTAGTGTTCTGATTGACTATCCAGTGACAAGGCTTATTGAAGCCGAAGTACGAGGTGTACTATTTAAATATTCATCTTTAGTGGATCTTGAATATGTGGATGATATTTCCTTACTTAGAGAGACTATTGACCAGCTATGGCTACTGCTGTAAGAGCTGAGGAAAATACCTGTGGAATCTATGACTCTATGAATCCATGATGATAAAATCAAAGCCATGCATGCCTCCTAAAAAATGGAAATGAATGACCTGGTGCATGTAGATGGCAATGACATTGAATGGGTGAATACCTATCTGGGTAGTCAGTTGACAGCAGGAGGTCCTATATGTGAAGAAGTCACACGTCTGATTGGTCTTGCATCAATGACATATCGGCGTCTTCAAAGGCCTCTGTTTGGGTGGCAGGCAGTCTATGTAACAACTAAGAGAATAGGGTTTGGCACGGTAGTGATAACAACTCTGTTATACGGAGCAGAAACATATCCATTAAAAATAGCTGAGGAGAGGAAACTAGACAGTTTTCAGGGTCAAAAATTAAGAGAATTCTTAACATCCCTTGGTTTGATTTTGTCACAAATGAGCAGCTACTTAGATAAACTCAGCAAGTTGAAGTCTTGCACCAGTTGAGAGGAAGATCACTGCAATGGTGGGGTCCTGTCTAATGTGCATCAGAAGGTATACTTTTAATGAAGGTTTATAAATATGAGATCAAAGAGTGTTGAGTATGAGACCAACAATGAATGAGATTGGAAGATGCAATTATGAGGAATTTAAGAAACCTAAATCCTCCCATACTGATTCTTATGGAAGCAAGAAGAGTTGCAAGGGACAATCCAAGATGGAAATCTATTCTATGTCCCATCATGGCTGCATTATAGTGATGTGTATCTGCTGCTGATGATGTGCCGCTGATATATATGCAATGTGAACAGCTTCAAGAGGAGAGCCTGAGGAAGCCCCGCCCTAACTACCTTACACCCCAGAGATTAAACACTGTCCTCAGAGATGGGAGACCTAGCTTCAAACCTCTGCTCCAAATCAGACAGAGAGGGAACTGAACGAGGATATTCCGTGGCTGAGTGCCCTAACCACTAGGTTGGAGGTATGGGGGGATGCTAGGGTTCCACATGCTGAGTTTGTCAGTTTAGCCTTCCCTCCCCACCCCCACCCCCGATTAAAATATTTGGCAAATGTGTTTCACATTTGCAAATCGTCAACTAAAACTGCTTTTTTTTTTTTTTGGTAAATAAACTATTTACCTCAAAATTTTGCCCAGCTCTATACAATACATCTCCTTTGTCTCATCTCTTCTTCTTTCCTGCCATTTTATACAGTCTATTTGCTCATTTCTCATTCCTTAACCTGTGTGTTCGTCTATTGGTGATGTTCAAGGATGGCTGGCCATTTTCCATGTTTTGTCATTTTCTCCCTTTCTGCGGTAATTACACATTATAGCTAGGATCTTTAAAGGATTATATGGGTGACAACAATATTTGCTATTTGGGTGTCTAACTCCTTTGGCTGCTTTAAGAATCTGAACTTAAATATGTGTCTTTTTAATTGACTGTCACTGAGTTTGGATACTGTAGCAGGGTGATCACCACGCTCTGGCCCTGGAAGGGTACGAGCCGCCCTGGGGAGTGCTGCAGTGGTAAAAGCAGCCCTGGAGAGGGCTGTAGCTCTGAAAGGTGGGCTGTTTGAGAAAGCAGCCACAGCTGTAGCTGGCTTAATAAGGGCCCTTATAAGAGGGCAGTGGGCCAGGAGCAAGCAGGCGCCTTCTAGCTGAGGAGGGAGATGGACCTAGCTGCCTGAGTGCTAAAAGGTAGTGGAGTGAAGCAGGGCTGGGGAAAGGCCAGAGGAGCTGGGGAGCTCCGGGCCAGCAACTCCCCAGGCTGCAGGTCCTTGTACAAGACCTCTGGAGGTACTGGGTTGTAGGGTAAGGCAGCAGGTCAAAAAAACCCTTGCCTATGATGAGTGTCTTTTACACTACAGTCTGCCCCAGTGAGCGGGGGCTAGAGGGTGACTGGCCATAGCCCACGACTGAGGGAAGGTGGGGATACAGGGTTGGGGGTTCCCCTGGGTAGGAGACCCTGAGACTGCGGGGGTATTGCCAGGGGGAAGCACCCTAAAGACAAGGGGCACCGGGTCCTGGAAGGGTCCAGCAGCAATGGAACACTGACCTGCCCAGGGTGCTCTGGAGGCTGGAAATGCTAATTCCCTGAGACAACCAGCAGGAGGCGCCGCAGGAGTGAGTCCCGCACTGCTATAGATTCCTAAATCCTTTCGGCTCTTTTGATAATCCAAGTATCATTGCTTTCATTCTTACACATAGTAGAGCGGTGCTTAAGGGTTGAACCAGCACAGT